GCTGTTGTGGTCGCGGCAGAGGCAGAGCAGCGAGGGCAGCACCTGTAGATCCACCAACTGCCCTAGCTCCGGATTAGACTCCAGCTATGGATGCTCCAGCAGCACCAGATCAGGCACCAGCTGTGCCCATCGTGATTTCGGGTCTTCGGGAGGCCTTGGCACAGATCTTATCAGTTTGCACTGGCCTGGCTTAGGCAGTTTCAGCCACTACAGTAGCAGCTACTTCACAGGCCGGGGGAGGCAAGCAGACCCCCGCTGCTCGCACCCTTGAGCAGGTAGTGCAGGGACTTCAGACACCGAGGGTACCTCCAGCCCATCCGGTTGCACCAGCTTAGGAGTTTGTTGTGCCAGTTATGCCAGATGATGAGCATCGTCATCTTGAGAGGTTTGGTAGACTCCAGCCTCCGACATTCAGTGGAGCAGAGGGTGAGTATGCCCAGGGTTTTCTTGACAAGTGTAAGCGGATGCTCCGTACAGTAAGGATTCTTGAGACTAGTGATGTGGCATTTACCACCTTTCAATTTACTGGGGCTGCTTTCACTTGGTGGGAGGCATATGAGAGGCATAGGCCGGTTGGTGCAGTGCCCCTTTCTTGGCAGGAGTTCTCCACTCTCTTCTTGGAAAAGTATGTACCGCAGTCCCGCAGAGAGGAGCTGCGTAGACAGTTTGAGTGGTTGCGACAGGTGGATATGATTGTGTCACAGTATGAGTCGAGGTTTTCTGAGTTGGCTCGTCATGCCGTTTGGATGGTTCCGACAGATCGTGAGAGGATCAGGAGATTTATTGATGGCCTTAACTATCTTCTCCGTATTCTTATGACCCGAGGTTTTCTTATGGCCTTAACTATCTTCTCCCAGTCCAGGTAGTGTTTCAGAGACTACGAGGTAGATGTTGGCGTCCGCAGCCCCCGTGCCTCCCTTATCTTATTACTTTTATATTCTTCAAACAGTTGTACCAGATATTATATCTAGTTGACTCGTATTAGGATCCTTAGTTGCTCATGACTTGTGACACCCTAGTTTGGGTTGTGTCGGGATGGTTTCTACTATTGTTATCGTTATTTCTGCAAATTATGGTTATTATATCATGTTTTAGAACTATTTATGGTATTTAACTATTTAAATGAGGTGTTCTGTTTTGGTCTGGCTGGCCTTGTTTTCACGAGAGGCGCCATCATGACCGAGTTTGGGGTTAGGGTTGTGACAATGAAGGTTCCATTCTCAAGCATTATTGGAATTTATGCAAGAAGAAAGATAGATTGTGGATTCAATGGGTGCATATCTACTATATAAAGGGTAATCAAGTGTCGGAAAGCAATGCTCCGCAAGCATCTTAGCTGATTCAGAAAATCCTAAAGACTAAGCAGTACTTGGAGGAAGCAGGGGTATCTAAAGAGGAATTCCTAAAAGGTGATAAATATGCTATCAAGATAATGTATAACAAGCTGAGAGACACATATTCTAAAGTGCAATGGAGGAAATTGATCTGTAATAACCAGGGTAGCCCTAAATAGTTATTCATATTATACCTTGCAATACAAGACGGATTTTACACAAAGATGAGATTCAAGAAGGGGGGTATGGGGTATGACACAATATGTGCACTATGTGATAATGAGGAAGAAGACATTTAGCACTTGCTTTTTAAATGTTCGATCACATCTCAGATATGGCAACAAATACTCAATTGGCAATGAATCCAACGTCAAGCTATGGGGTTGAATGAAGAAATTGAATGGGCTCAAAAACATGCCTTTGACAATAGTGCCAAAGCAGAAATATATCGCATGGCTCTAGCAGGAAGTGTGTACTATACTTGGTTGGATAGGAACAATAAATCTTTCAACAAAAAAATAAGACCAGCAGCAGCTATATTGAGGCAGATCATTCAAGATATACACTGCAAAGGGAGAATGAGGAAGAAATTGGCACCATTATTGAAACAACTTGATTACTATCCTAGTTAGATTGTTTAGTAGATAACACATAGTTTATAGTTTTGTATTTGTATGCATGGAAGAAGATGAAGTATACTAAAGTTGAGGCTGATGACCAACTTTAGAGGTTTCAGAATACTATGTAAATATTTTCCTGGTAATAAAATTTATAACTACCAAAAAAAAAGTTCATTAAGATGTATCTATATATGTAAACACATTTATAGAAAGTGAAAGTATTTTTAATTGAAGTAGGAGTATGAAAAATATCTCCTATAGTATAACAACAATAATTTCAAAAGGATTATTAGTATATCCTAATTAAAATTTTTGCATGTAAAAAATATTTTTATAATAGCTACTAAATAAATAAAGAAAAGAAAATGATTTTCCTTTACTTTCTTCTCACTTCTTTCTTCTATAATCTCATTCCTTCTTTTTTCAGATGCATTATTTTTTTTAAAAAAGAAGAAGCTATTGTATTATTGTGGGTAAGTTAGAACCTGCTTGGCTAAACTTCTAGGAGGCCAAAAGTATTTTTTTGACAAAAAGGTACTTTTAAAAAATTTGAGGTGTTTGACCAAGATGACAAAGTACTTTTGAACAACAACATAAATAGTTTTTCTGTTTTTGTGGAGAAGCTACAAATTCTAGCTTCTTTCAAGAAGCAGAAAATTAATCTGTTCAATACAAAAATAACTTTACAATGAATTTATATTTTTCAAATTATTCATCATTAATTTAATATTTTTCTTTTCCTTTTTCTTTTTTTATTTTATTTCTACCATACATTTCTTCTCTCTTTTACTTGAGTCATATTTTATTCTTTTTCTCCTATTACTAAGGGTATATTTTTAATATATTTTGATATATTTAAATTCATATAAACAGTAAGTAATATACTAGATACTCAATATTATTGCTTTGAAATAACTATGTTTTATATTTTTACTTTATGCTTTAATTAATATTTCATAATAAATATTTAAATTTATTTTTATTTTTTAAATATACTAATTGCAAACTGAATATTTACTGTCATTTTCATAATTTTATACTTAAAAGTACTTTTTGAAAAGATTGGCCAACCACAATGATATTGCAAAAGAACACTACTCAAATAAATTGGGTTGTAAAAGTATTTTTTCCAAAAAATACTTTTAAATAAAAGCATTTTTAAATAAGGAGTTTTTGGCAAACGGGCTCTTAAAATCACCCAGGTAATTACAAATGAGCTAATATTTCGGGATTTTTACCTAGCTATAATATATTAGAAAATTATTAACCACTTTTCTTTATGTTCCTTAAAAATTACATTGTGTATCTATATTTACTATTTATGTACAAAATCATGATAAAAGAATGATCTCTTAAATATAGGAATTAATTTGTAACTGCATCTCTCATCCCCATCTATCAGCTTAATTAACCTCCTACAATCGCGACTTTCTTCCCAATTTCAAAAAATCTTAAATTCATTCTCTCTTTCATACAAGTCAACCAATATCTCTCTCTCATACAAATCAAACTATTATCTCTCTAAAATTGTAGCATCATATATTTCTCTGAATCAATTCCACCAACAACCATTAAAAAGCTTCAACTATTGACAAATCCATCGACGTTATCTCTGAAATTGCAGGTAGAGAGATTTGCCATTGACATACCATTAAAAAGTTTCGAAGCTTTGAATTAGATATTCGGATTTTATGAATTTGTGATTTCTTTGGATTGGGTGTTCTTGAAAAAGATTAAAAATATCCTTTAGAGTTTATATCTCAATTTTAATGGAGATTGATTAAGTTTAAAGTTGGTTGTAGGTTGAATTTCAGATTGAAACTCAAGGAAGAAGAAGTTTCGGAATTGTATTACGATTGTATGATAAATGTATCATAGTTGTATCTGATACATCAATACCTAAGACAATTCTGATACAATACTAGTACTATTAAAATACAATATTGTATCATAATTTAAGTTTAGAGTTGGTTCCAGGTGGATGTTTTAAGTTGAAACTTCAAAAAGATGAAGATCAAAGTTGTATCAAAATTTGGAATTGTATTACGATTGTAACATAATTGTATCACAATGTGTACCTAAAATAATACATAATACAATACTAATACAAGTATAATATGATGTTATATCAGTTTAAGTTTAGAGTTGGTTTAAGTTGTATCATAATTGTATCACAATTGTGTAAGAATTCTTTCAGGATTGTATCAAATTGGTATTTGAATTATGAGCAGTTGTGAGTTCGTCACAGTTTGTATTGATAATTATATATTAGTTTTTAGTATTGTATCAGGTATTATTTTGGATATTAATGTACCATCTACAAGTTAGATACAATTGTGATACATTTATGTTTTACACATTGATGCATCTGATACAATTCAAATACAATTATGAAACAGTTATCATATAATTCCTGGATATTTCTTCATTTTCAGTGTTATCCGGTCTCCCAGCAGAAGAACGATGCAATTAATGATTTAGTAATATGAAGCTGTCGGCAATGGTGGGAAGAGAGAAGATGGAGATTCTGGGCGTAGATTAAGGGATTTTGATGTAAAAAAAAGAAGGAGAGAGAAAAGGAAAGGAAAAAAAGAAGAGGAAATGATATAATTGAATCTCTTAATTGAAGGCACTAATAATGGGGTGAGAGTCTTTTAAAGAGCAATTTACACAATTTGTAAGAAAAACCTTGATACTTATTAAAAACTACAAAACATAGAGAACATTGGTAAATAAATTTCTAATATAGTATAACTAGATAAAAATCCCAATATTTAAGGGCGAAGTGAAGTAATAATCACTTTTAAGCCAACTATTTGAAATATTTTCATAATTTACAATATATTTAAAATAAGTTCACCCAAACTTTAGTACAAGTATCAAATTTAGGACTTAGTGTCCAGAATTTTTGAACTGCTAATTTAAAATTCAGTATTAAGTATCCTAAATTTCTCAACAACTAATTTAAAATTTTCGAACATAATATTCCAATTTATGAATATAATTTTCCAACTTTAGCGTACCATGTCCTCATTTTGAGGTTTAAGCTGGAGTACGTCAAATCTAAGTGATATAGTTTAAAGATCCATAATAGTTTGCCCCTTTCTTCTTTCTTCCCAAATCAAAAGATCCAAAACCAAACAGAGGCAAAAGTGCCCAATCGCAGAGGAGGCCATTTCAAGGTAATCCCATATATAGAAATCCGTTTTCTTTGCTTGCTTAGGAGTGTATATATGCTCTCTTTCATAATACGGTTCTTGAATTTGCTAGAGCTTTCCATTGCCCCTCTCTTCCCTCTTTTGCAGCCATAATAGTTTCTTTTAGCGTGTTATTGACATTATGGAAAAGAAAGGTACCCATTTGGGCAGTATTCATGATCATTATTCTTAGAATTTACGAAGAAAATGATTTTATAGCATGAACATTGTGTTTTTAATAGGAGAAGGTTAGGCCTATTATGAATCTTAATGATACTGTTTACACTAACTCTACTATTTTATACATGTGCATGTGTTTGAATATATCAGTAGAAAAAGAAAAGGTAGAAAACAGCCGTGCCAGATAAACCCTAATTTATTTTCAAAGACAAATTGTTGAGTATCAGAACGAAACAAACTGGGATTGAGGTTTAGTAGTAGTAGTTGTATAGAGTGTATAGAAAAATAGTTTCTCTTAAAACACAAATCGTTTAGTACTCGAATGACACGGGTCCAAGTGGAGTGGTATTTAGGATTCATATAGCCAACTCCAACTGGTAAAGTTTGAAGGGGAGCTCTGGCGTAATTGGTAAAGTTGCTGTCATGTGACCAGGAGATCACGGGTTCAAGCCGTGGAAACAGCCTCATGCAAAAATGCAGGGTAAGGTTGTGTACAATAAACTCTTATGATCCAGCCCTTCCCCGGACCCCGCGCATAGCGGGAGCTTAGTGCACCGGGCTGCCCTTTATAGCCAACTCCAACTAGCGTGGTATTGATGTATAACATATTTGTATATATGTCTTCGTTGTTATGCGAGAGAAATGATGGCTCTGTCAGCATATATGTACATGTACACATGTTCCTTGTTTTGTGAGAGAAATGAATGCTTAATTGTCATTGTGATTGTCTTTGGGGTTCTTCTGTGCTCGTAAGTCAGTAAATGCTTAGCTTTTGTAACTTGGTTACTTTGAGATTGAAAACATTGTTGTGCTTTTTCCAATTTTGTTTATTTTATCTTTTGTTTTGTGTTATTCTTTTTTTTATTTTTTTATTTTTTATTGTTGGTGGTAATCCATAAAATTTTGTCTTAAAACACTATTCCAAGTTAATACTATAGTGAAAATGGTGGATAGCCGTTTTTTGCTAGTTGGGTACAGGGAAAAGAGTTTACCGACAGAAATGGAAATATTCGAAGTATTTACTTGATTTGATATGGTCTTTGGCTATCTGGTGTCAAGGAAGAAATAGGATTACATTAGTAGCTCAATGATAGCTCAATGTGCGCATTACAATAGATGTGGTGTTCAATTAACTCATCAAGTATATATACACGTACATATATATATGTGTGTGTATTTATTGGCTGTGCCATTTAATTTCTATTAGAAAGAAGAAATGAGACAAAACAAAGATGTATTTGCAGTTTTTTTATTTATTTAAATTTGATGCTTTATTAAGATATAGTCTACTTCTTGAGTACTGGGATCTGGATGTAAGTTGTCGAGGATCTAGAATACAAACTCCAATATGTTTGGGAAAATTTGCATATTCTTCAATTTACTTTTTGCTATGTAGTTCACATGGCAGTTCATGAGTCAATATTTTGACAATGTTTTTTGGCTGCTTACTATCCAAGAGAAAAAGTTATGAATGACATGTGCAATATCTATTTGTATGAACAGATGAGCTCTGGTTAAATGTTTAGTAACATTATGTCTTATGCTACAGATGTCTCTGCACCTTGGTAACCTATCATCTCGCATTCGTAGAGATGAACTTGAGCGTGTTTTCCGGAGATTCGGGCGGTGTAATGTTCGCGTGAAAGACAAATTTGGATTTGTAGTTTATGACTATCCTAGAAATGCTGAGAAAGCTCTAAAAACACTTCGAGGAAAGTTCATATGTGGAGAGCCAATAAGTCTTTCATGGTCTAATAAGCAGCCTCGGTTCTTGCAGAAATATACACGAGATGTTAAATCTTTTGAAGCAGTAGGAAGGACGCACTCTGCTAGGGAAGATTATGTTGACCATGTTAATCGTGGGGTTGGTTCAAATGGGGAACAAGGTTATAAAGAAAGTTTTAGGCAAGGGAATGGTGGCGAAAGGCTTCCTGCTGAAATTACGGATGAGGCATGTCATGAGAATAAAAAAGATTACAAGGAACATCATCCCTTTGTGGGTGATTTTCCGGATCAAGGTGGAGGTGTTGAGGGAAACCTCTCAAAAAATGATAACCAAATGAATCAAAATGTCCTTGAGGATAGATTGGAGTTTGATAGATATGAACCTAATGAGGCTGATGAGCGGACGGAGCAAAATGTTTTGACACACGGGGATGGTTCACTCTCTTTGAGGAAGCCTGAAGAGAAAGCAGGAGTGGAGCAAATTGATCCGAAGACTCAAAATGCTTGCTACAACTGTGGTGAAGCAGGTCACAAAATGCAGAAGTGTCCCCAGGGGATCAAGAGGCTTGAATCCAGGACTTCAAGAAGACTTCGAGCTGGTCGTGACACAATATCATTGAGGATGACCAAAGGTATCAGGGAGGCTATTGATTCCAGAAATGGCCATAGATTGAGGAGTGAACCTTCTCCTTCAGCAAGGACGACTCATAGAGGTGGAAGAAACAACCACAGAGAAAACAAGCGATGTTGGAAGGAACAGGGGAGTATTGAGAAGTTTCTTCCAAAGAAAGCCAGGGTGTCAATATCACCTTCAAATCATTCGAATCATACTTCATCTCAGTCACGGTCCTCTTCTAGGTCAATGAGGTCTTTGTCTCAGTCTCCCTCACCATCTAGGTCAAAATTAGTATCCTCCATTAAAGATTCTCCATTTTCCAGTTCACAGTCTGGTTCATCAACCCTTCATACTAGAGGTAAAAGTTACAAGTCTAATATGAAGTCGAGGTCAAGCTCTCCTACATCATCTTCGTCTCCGGAAAAGGTGCAGAAAGATCAGAAGGCCACTTTCGTGGATGCTGGTGACCCTCAGTCTAATGGAGTTTTATTTGAAGGGGAGCCACTAGAAAATAGTGCTGCTAGAATGGATGATTCTAAGCTTGAAAACATCATTGTTCAAGTGGAAAATCAAGGTGACGCTGCAGTTTGTGAACTGGAAGAGGATGTTGAGCATGATTGTTGTCAGAGGAGGGATGCAATAGATATAGGCAAAGATTCTTGTCAATGGAAAAATTCAAATACCACAGGATCTGACACGTGTGATCTTACAACATGGAGTGCATCTCCAAAGAGTTTGGCAGAGACAAGGGAGCTTCAAAATAATGATGTGGTGGAAGAGCAGACATTGGCACAAAATCCAAATTCTGGTTCACCAGTTGCTGAGAGGCTTCATTCCGCTACTTTGACAAGTCTATCCTCAGAGGAAGTATACCGGGTTCTCAAACACTATGGGCTAGAGAACCAAGAGAAGAGAGAAAATGAGTTACCTGTGGAAACTTATTTTGGTTGTTCTCGCTTGTGGCCTTGGGAAATCATTTACTATAGGAGACTTAAGAAGGGCCTCATTTCAACTGAGAACTATTCTAGGAGGTTGGCGCAGAATAAAGAGTTTGGTATAGTGGACAAATTTGTAAGAAGCAGTAGTGGTTGGGCAGAATTGAGAAAAGAAAATAGTTAATCGTTTCCTTTGACCGATCGATGCATCATAGTTCATGTCTTTTCCTTGTGATGCTATGCAGAAATTGGTTAGAAAGCTTTTACTGACCCTTCAGCAGGTACCTGTTATTACTGTTATAATTGTTTTAACCTAATATAATATAGTAGAAATTTGGTCTGTTTTTGTCCCTCCTTCTCTGCATCTAACTCTGATAGAGAAGGCATGAGAACTGGTGTTTATTTTTTCTGATAAGCCTGAGGACAATTGCTAGTTTCTGAAGTAATAGTGTGTTGTTCCAAAAGGTGACAAAGTTAGCTCTGACACCCTTTCTTTCGTGGCTTTTGAAAGCAAAACTTAGAGCTGGAACTATTAGGGATTGTTGTTTTCTTTTTCCCGGGAAACTTATTGTACCATATTCTGATTCTTTTTTCAAGCAGACCTGTCGCACCCAATTGCATAACTTATAATAATGCTTCTTTTGTATTAATGATAACTTTTGTTATGGATTTTTTGTTTCCAATGGAGTAATAGATTGTTATAGATTACTGTATAACTCAAATTTCCTGCATTTGAATCAAGAAAATAGGTTCTGTAAAGAACACAATCATAAGCAAGTAATTCCCCTATTTGAAATGCAAAGCAAGCATGGGCTTTTAGGACAATAGTAGAGCACTTATATTAGATCTGAGTTGCAAGGACCAAAGATGAGGATGAGGAAAAAGGACAAATGAGAAAGAGAGAGCTTTGGCATCAGACAAATACTGGCCTTTCAACATGAGTCCAAATAAAGTGAGATTAGTATTTCCAGGCACTAAACTTTGTTTTTTTCTTTGAATGAAGATGGTGTTCAGCCCTGCTTGCGCGCACCTCCACTATTCTATCGGATACCTACTACCTTCCAACAATACAAGTATCAGGTAACTCTACCCACCAATGCTTAGGCAGATGGGAAGAAATCACTTAGTGTGCTTTTGCCTCCGCTGAGATTTGAACCTAAGACCTCATAGTTCTTCTCCACTTCATTGACCACTAGACCACACCCTTCGGCTAATAACCCTTCTCTCAAGAATATGTAGCCATGAACAATGTTGTCAAAGGATCATTTAAGATGTGCTTAAGCCCTGAAGCCCAAAAAAGCTCAGGGAGTGCGCTTTGCCTCACTTAAGCTGCTTCAGTGTAGGCAAGGAACTAAAGCATGCACCTTATTGCCCATGCATGCTATCTTGAGTCGAACGGTACTAAATAATAAATATAATCAACAAAGAGATATTTTAATTATTAAATAAAAACATTATCAATGAATTTGTCACTTTTATCTTGCATTATAGATATATTTTTATTTTGTTTCTTCATTATGTCTTTTTTAACTAAAGCTCACACTTTAACTACGCTTTGCGTTCAAAGCCCCAATAGACTTGGAGCGCTTCTTAAAGCTTTCTGGCTTGAAAAATGCTGGCCATGAGTTATCTGGAATAGAGACAAATAAGTTGACGACAACTTTAATGTTTTCTCTTTACTCAATATTCAGTTACCTGCTTTATTTGTCTCAATCCTAGAACTCTTTCCTTGATTTTATATTTCTCAGAGAAATCTCAGAACTAACATTTATATGTTTAAGGAATTACATAAAAGTTTATGGCCTCTGCGTAATGGTGACACACCAATTGAGAAATGTTCAAGGAATTAGAATTTGTGAGTCTTGAAGTGGTTCAATGATAAGTTCTCTTATGCTTGAAATTAGGTAGTCAATAGTGCTCTTTTGACCTAAGTAGATAGGAAATAAGTCTTCAAAACTCCAATTTTGATGAGATGTCCTTCAACTTCTTGTGCCTGGTTCTAGGTTTCAGCTTCTTGGTACAAACTTTGATTCTCTTCTATGACCTTTTATTAGATAAATAAATTTCTCAAATTATTATATTCATTTAAGCCCTTAGGGCTTACTTCAAGTGGCAAAAGTTTAGGGACTCGTGACTTGTCACAGGTTCGAGCCCTGGGTCGTGCAAACTAAGCTTGGTATTTAAGTGGAGAAGAGCTGAGAGATAGGCTCATTATTCCCGAGTTTCAGAGGCTATGTAAGTTGGGAACTTTATGTAAGCTGGACCTTGAGAAAACTTATGATTATGTGAATTGCGATTTTATGGATTTCATTATGTTGAAAATGGGCTTTGGGGACAAATGGAGGAGATGGATGAAGTTTTGTATTTCTACTGCCAGATTCTCTATTTTGGTGAATGGGATTCCATGTGGTTTTCCGGGAGTTCGAGGGGTTTGAGACAGTGGATTCATTATCCCCTACGTTATTCATTTTCGTGATGGAAACATTGAACAAAATGATGGATATGTTGGTCATTAAAGGACTATTGAACGATGTGATACTTCGTTTAGAAGGCATAGTAATGTGACAATTACATATCTCTTATTTGCCGATGCCATTTTTTTTGTGATGCAGAGGTGTCCTAACTAGCTCACTTGAGACAAATGCTTATCTGGTTCTAGGTTATGTTAGGCCTTAATCATCTTAGAAAATGTGAGATCACATCGGTTGGAGAAGTGGAGAATATTGAAGAGATTGCGCAAGTGTTGAATTGTAAGGTGGGTGCTTTACCTACTACCTACCTGGGGGCTACCGTTTGGTGCTTTGAGCAAAGATCTTGTAGTGTGAAATCCGGTGATAGAGAGTAAGAAGCGATTTGCTGGATGGGAAAGAGGTATTTGTCGAAAGGAGGGAAGGAAGTATTGATTAAAAACACTCTTTCTAGCATACCTACATATTTTATGTCACTATTGCAGGCTCATGGTAAAGTAAATAAAAGGTTGGAAAGACTTCAACGAAACTTTTTATGGGACACAATGGGAGGAACAAGAAATTATCATTTAGTAAATTGGAGAGTTTTGACTTCTCCAAAGGAATGAGGAGGACTTCGAGTAAAAGATCTTAAGGTCTTCAACAAAACATTACTAGGGAAATGGATATAAAATTTGGGGTGTAGGAGAATGCATCTAGAGGGGGGTGGTAACAAAAAAAAATGATATCACGGAAGAGGGATGGAGGACTAGAAACATCATAGTACCGTATGGATGTGGTTTATGGAGGAGTATCATGAAGGAGTGAGAAGACTTTAGTGGACATGTTTTTCAAGGTTGGGGATGGAAGCAAGATTAGTTTTTGGGCGCATAAATAGTGCGGGGAGAACGAGTTGAGGGAAGCCTTCCCCAACATATACAAAGTATTATGCCAAAGAAGGATGACAATTCGACAAATTTGAAGGTCTCACGAGGGGGTTGTTCTTTGATAATTGAGATTCATGGGGAACCTACATGATTGGGAGTAAGAATTTCACAACTTTGTTGAGGTATTGTACAAGTTGGATACATTGAACATTATATTGACGTATGAAAATGGCGAGAAAATAGAGATGGATTATTCACTATTAAATCTTATTATAAGAGGTTATTAAGGTGAGAGGAACATATTTCCCTTGATGGTCTATTTGGATTTCTAGAGCACCGAGAAAGGCATGTTTATTGGCATTGTTGGCAGCAGAGGGAGTGATTTTGACAGCGAAATCCGAGAAAGAGGAGGATCACCTACGTCAATTGGTGTTTCATGTGCTAAAGCTCGGGCGAAGAGGTAAATTATCTCCTATTGCATTGTAAAGTGGCTAATCATTTATGAAAGGTGGTCCTTTGTTTGGGGTGCAATGGGTGATGCCGGGCATAGTGAAAGAAACGTTACATAGTTGGGCTCATTGCAGGGGGAAGAGAAGTCCAAGGGCTTGGTGTGTTGCCCCCTTAGCACTCATGTGGGTTATTTGGAAAGAAAGAAATATGAGGGCAATTGAAGGGTGGAACAAGATTTTGTAAAATTGCAAAGTAGTTTGTTTCTAGTTTCTTTTTGGTGTACTCATAAGGCCCCTATTTGTGTAGAGGATTGGGCCTCTTTTGTGGAGAATCATATTTTGGTGTAGGCTCTTTTTTTTTGGGATGTACGAATTGTATATGGAATTTTCCCTAATTCTTAATGAAATTAGTTACCTCATCAAAAAAATGACAAACAGGATACCACTTTCTCGAAGTTTAGATAAAACGGGATGTAATCAAATGAGTTGGTCAGATGACAAGCTATGGGTGGTCTCGAAAAGTTAATATAGTAAAATTCATGTAACTCATGTTCAATATGAATTCTCCTTCTCATATTGTGGTCCTTCATGAAATTACAAGTATTAAAAAGGGTAGTCCTTCATGCAAGCACATGTATTGAAAAAGGTTATTGAGCAATTAAGTCATTGAGGTAAGAAACTAATGAATACGAAATTAAAAGTACAACCAAGAATATAATTCAAAGAGGGTATATAGGTAACTCGACATATTCCAATAGGCGTTTGGGATCCATTACCTATGTGGCAGTAGGAAGGTTTGAGAAACAAGAAATAATGGAGAAGAGAAACATATTATTAAAATATGATCTAAAGCTCATTTATCAATGACACATGGTCTAAAATAAAGTATCTAGATTCATAGGTAATAAAATTATTTGCTTGAATTGCAGAAACTACTTATGAAGTTGACTTCTCAAGTACCTTATTTAGGAACTTAAGATAATGAGATAAAAGAACATGCATTCCCTCAATCTCTAAGTCCCGTTTTTTCTTTGACCAAGATTCTGAGATATATTTGGCACAACCGAAATGGCCACAAAATATGAGATAGTTACCTAAGGTGAAATTGAGCACGCTGAGAAGATCATACGATTTTTGTTTATGGGAAGAAATTCCTCAAAAAATTTGTTTGCTGGAAAAAGAAGGTTCCTAATTTTTTTTAATAAAAAAAGCACAATCACCGGAGATGGTTACAAGATAGAATATCTTTAGTATGCTGGAATACCAATGTAGTGTGGGTGGAATTGTGGAAAAGTCAAGATAATCGACCAAAGGTATTGAGTTGCCGAAAAACCAGTGGAATTTTGCTGGGTAAATCAAAGAACACCTTGGTTGGAGTCTCTGGCCTCCGTCGATTTCAAACTACAAGGAAAGCTTGAAATGTTAAACTCCTCGTTTACAAATCTACAACGCCAAAATTTACAATTTTAGCTGTCAGAATAGGTTAAGGGAGTCAGGATATGTGGTTGCTTTCATATTGATGTAAAGTCGCTTAAATGCTAATAGTGTGTTCAAGTTTGGAAGCCATTCTTAGTCAAAAAATATTTTCACGTGTTTGGCCAATGGAAAAGAATTAAATTTATACTTGCAGAGCAATATATGAAACATAATTAAGTAAATAAAAGTGTCTTTTTTAAAGTTTTAGCTTTTAGATTTGAAAGTCACATAATTGAACATGATATCAGAGCAAATAGAAGTCTGGGGTTTAAGTCTCACTATGGCATCACCATCCATTATCAAGTTGATTTTTTACATGCTTGACCTATAATTAGGCCTGGGCACGATTGGGGGGGGGGGGGGGGGAGATGTTAAAGACATAATTAAATAAATAAAATTATTCTAGTTTATGTAGAAGCCTGCTTGCCTGGTTTCATCATTGTCTCTAGGGGTGTTCATGGATCGGTTTGACTCGATTTTTGCTTAAAAGGAAACTAAACCAGCTAAGTCGCTTTTATAATATTTAATCTTTCAGCAGTGCTTTCGGTTTTGTTGCTTTGGTTCGGTTTTTTCCCTTAGTCATTGCAAAAATTTGTGTCACATGTTATTTTCTTCGTATATATTATTCCCTCCGTTCCATTTATGTGACAGAGATTGAATTGACACGAAATTTAAGGAAGAAAGGAATACTTTTGAAACTGATGGTCTAAAATATGTCATAGCAATTGTATGGTTATAGAACTTTTGAAGCTTGTGGCCTTAGACATACCATAACATTTGTGTGGTTATAAAAGCTTCTCATTATAGGTAAAATGGGAAGTGTAAAGTTAATTGCTTCCAAATTTGCAAGTGTCATTCTTTTGGAACGAACTAAAAAGGAAAGTGTGTCACATTAACTGAAACATCAGTCATTTGCCCTTCTTGATTTTAGTACAAGAAATTCATTTGCCCTTCTTCATTACAATTTAATTACGCTTTAATTATGCTTTGAGCTTAAAACTTCAACATAGTTTGTGGTGTTTCTACCCTTCTTGCCTTTAACAACCTTCATCTAGCTCATGTAATCACTACCTATCCCAAACTGCTACAGACTGCTAGAACAGTGTTCAAGACATTTTTGTTCCTGTCTTGTGGAATCTTTTGAAATTTTTGGAGAAGTTCTCACTTCTCAGTGACTTCAGACTTAAATTTGTTTGGTTGCAATATACTGGTTTGTATGCGAGTATCTCAGACTCACAATGAGATAATGAGAGGTATAAAGTCATGCATTTGCCATAATTTTGCAGATAAACAAATCACTGGTAATTGGAAGTATTGCGTTCAAATGAGAATGGTATATTCTTGCAACCAAAGTTACCAACCGCTTTGAATTGGAAGAATAAAACTTGAGAGACTTGCCTGTAAGATTTATCTAGTTACTTTCTGGGCTCTGCGTGCTCTACTTCCTATACCATAGTCAGTTAAAATGTCCTCCAAGAAAAGAAAAATCAGTTTATTGGTTTATGTTGGATAAGTGTGGCAAAATGCTAAATGACCATAACCTGGAATTAAACTTGTTATTAACATCTTGGGGACTACTGAAGTTCTTTAGTTGTGGCTGAGATAATTAAGAATTAGGAGTAACAAGAATTTGGAAATATAAGACCGTTGGAGTTGGTATAAATGCTAGTTTCTTTGTTATGTAGTACATGTAGCTGTGTTGGTAGGAGGCAATAGGTACTTGGTGAATTGGTCGATGTGTGGCAACTTATAAAAGAAATATACTAGTTGCTCACTTGCTTTGCGATAGCAATATGTCAATCTTGTTGAAATCATATTTATGACTAAAAGGAAAGCACAAAGAATTTTAGCTTGATATAGTGTTGCATCCGTTGGTAGAATTGACATAGTATCCATTGAAAAGTATAGTATGCTAAGGTGGAATGTCTGAGGCTGTTTCTTTGACTCAAAATAGGTTAGTGTATTCCTAAGCTGCAATCCCTGTTGGCCAGGATACAGTGTATGTTGTTTTTAACCTAGCTTAGCTACTTTTAAGAGCAAACCCCTTTTTATCAGATACAGCAAGATGTCCTTTTGGAATAAAACAAGGTGGTTAACTCTATCATAAAAAACTGGTGGGGATGTTCGGAATAAGACTGTTGAGTGCCAACGATGATGAGATCACCTGTTTTTCAATTTATGGGAACCTTGTACCTTACGTCGTTGCATATTTAGTTTTTCTATTAATTGATATACTTATGCATACAGTTGCTTGTTGTACGTTGTTCACTACTACCAGCTCACGGTCACAAGCTTGCTTGTGCGAACAAGTCAACAACTTGCTGAAATTTGCAATTTCTATTTTCTTTATTTATCTATTGTAGAGGCAGATTGAAAAGTAGATGAACTGATTGCAGAGTGTCATTGCCTGCCATGTTGGTGTTTTCTGTTTAAAGTACTGCATCATTCTAAGTTCATGCTTCCCAATATTCATTGTTGACAGTATTAATGCACTTTGTTTGGTTCTAAATTGGGGTATGGTATGCCTGCATTCATGATGTCGCTGCAAGTATATGTTCTCAACTGTATCCTTAGTTATAGGCATGAAATTTGCCTTCTAAAATTATGTTTAGGTTTTGTTTTCTTATTGACTAGCTAAATGCTATGCGTCATATTATTGATGGTGCAACTGACACCAGCTCTGGCTTTGTTTTTGTTCAATTAAAAGTGATGGTGAGAGGATGGAGTGGTTGTAGTTTTGGCTATATTTTGAGGTCAAATTAATTCTTTCTACTCTGATGTCGCCTTTGCTCTTTCAATTTGCTGTTTTCGTGGTTTATCTTCTAAACTTGCCAACATCTTTTTAGGAGGTTTGACTAGTTGAAAATGGAAATATTGATGTAGCCAATTCCGAGTAAATTAAAATAGTTTAAGCACATAGTGCAACACTTTTATCTGGCAAGACAAAAGAGATGTTCTGAAGATGCTCTAGTGCCTCCATGGGTTTTGGTCTAGTGGTAATAGCACACACGTGGTCAGGTGTATGCATTAGACTAACCTCACCGTTTCAACGACAAAAGCTTGATATTTAAGTGGAGAAGAATAAAAGGATTAGATAATTATCTATCGAGTTTTGAGTTATGTGCCGCTGGCTTTCAAGACTCGTTTCATTAAAAATAGATGCACTAATGTACCATATTTTTCTCAATGTTTAGTACTGTCTGAAATTGTACTAAAGTAATAAGAAGCAGATGAAGCATATGCTTTTTACTAGGTTTCCATCGGATGACTTTGATTAATAATGTCTTTTCAATTATCTTAAGACCGGCCTAACCTAAAATTTTAAACTCTCATCTTCTCATGTTGGAACCCCCATGGCCACGTCTAAATCTATCTTTTGGAGTTGTAGGTTCAGTTTATTTCTTCAACATGCAATAGCATTTCCCCCCTTTTTAAACATGAGGGCCCAATTCCTTCTTTCTGTCAACACTCTTATGCACATAGTATATATTATTTTGCATTCAATAGTCATACATATCAAGTTGCTTATACTTATCAGGTGCATTTCTTTAGGACAATGATGTCTAAGTTGCGCGTACTTTGATTATTCCACTAATTATCGAATATCTATGCCATTAAGGCATAGATAGATTTTTTTTGTCGGGTGATTTTAACCTTAATCTTCCATGGGTTATCCCACGTCATTCATCACTAGACCACACTATTATGTGCGATAATCGGTATTTTTCTCCGTGCTCGTAAATTATCTTATTTTATCTCAAATTGAGATGTAGATATGTCAATGTGATGCCTTTTGGCCTTGATTTGAGACATTTTCTGAAACTTTTACTTTTCATGCCAGTCTATTTTTGTTTTTACTTTTGGAAGAGAGATTCGGAGTTGTGGGGTACTTAACTGCTCAAAATTTGTAGCTTTTGGTTTATCAATGGTTACTAAAAAAATTTTAATATTAAAAAACTAAAAAAGTACAATAATTCCCCGCAACCAATTTGAGATGTGTATTTTGTAGTGCCATTCAGTCTATTCAATAGAAGAATAAAATAGGGTGAGATCCTATAAAGAAGTGACATTCGAGTGACGCTTGTCCTGTAAAACCCAGTGAAATAAAGATTTTGTGGAGGTGGGAGCAATTGAAATTAAGATTTCAAAATTATTTCATTCTGTCGAAAATTGACTTTACAGTATAAATAAACGATATAATATGATTTGATCTTGTAGTTCAAATTATCCCGTACGTGACATATCTGAAATAAAATTAATTATTGCAAGAAGGACTGATATCTTAGGGAAGGGAAACGGGGCTTTGCATGTGTATGAGTTAAAGAAGGGGTGGGAAAAAGGCGAAGAGAGTTAAAACAGAATTGAATAAGGGAACATGCAAGGAAAGAGAGATGCCCAAATTGAGAAAGTCAATTAAATAGGTCATTTAGTGAGAAAACAGTTAAAAAAGAAACCAAAAAGGAAAAACGAAAAAGCATATATATATATATATATATATATAATTGAGAAAGTCAATTAAATAGGTCATTTAGTGAGAAAACAGTTAAAAAAGAAACCAAAAAGGAAAAACGAAAAAGCATATATATATATATATATATATATAATTGAGAAAGTCAATTAAATAGGTCATTTAGTGAGAAAACAGTTAAAAAAGAAACCAAAAAGGAAAAACGAAAAAGCATATATATATATATATATATATATAATTGAGAAAGTCAATTAAATAGGTCATTTAGTGAGAAAACAGTTAAAAAAGAAACCAAAAAGGAAAAACGAAAAAGCATATATATATATATATATATATATAATTGAGAAAGTCAATTAAATAGGTCATTTAGTGAGAAAACAGTTAAAAAAGAAACCAAAAAGGAAAAACGAAAAAGCATATATATATATATATATATATATATATATATTATAACAATAATAAAAAATAAAAAAGAAGGTTTAATTGAAGATGGTAGTAGATGATGAACACAAACATTTAATTTTGTATTTATCATATGACGTAATGGCTTCATTATTCTCAACCGTCTCAATTACTGTTTGCATTTATTTGATTTTAATTGTTCTCACTTCTCTCAATCAAATATGAAATATAGTATCCCCCTTCCCTCTTATTGTCCAATTACCAGAATTACCCTTTTTCTTGGACCTAATTAAAACAGCACATGCATGTACATCGTATAGTGTCATCACATTGATTATTTGGATTTATAATAATATTGACATGGAACTACTTCCAGATTACCATCAATCCTTTAATAAATCCTCTTAGGGATCGTTTGGTAGGATGTGTTAGCTTTGATATTATTAATTCTTTGTTTGATAATGTTTTTCAATTTATGTATAACTAATATTTATATTATACTTATTATAGCAAACGGTCACATTAGCAATATCATAGTTTTTAATACATGAATAAGCATGTATAAAGATAGAACGGCCCTTTCAAAACTTTTAATACACCGAATAAAATGGTCAATAAGAAATAATTCCAATATAACTAATACTAGTGCTAACATTACTAATACACTCTATTCAGTACTGTTCTTATATAGACTCTACTAAACGGCCCCTTAATATACATCATGTTACTACACCATTGCTAGTGTCACTTAAGGTTACTTGAATCTCTGATCATGGTCAAGATTTGAGCTCTCAATTTCATCGTGTACTGTCTTTTCGATAATTATATACTCCAATAAAGTAAGAGTCCGAGCTGTCCGAGCTTAGTGCTGATCACTATCGTTATTAATTTTTCTTTTAATTGTTGCAAAATTAGTGTCTTCGGACTTTAATCAAAGATTCAATGGTAGTTCAAGATTTTATTTTGGACAATAGAAGTTAATCAAGAATGCTCTTTTGCATAGCTGCTATACTCTGTTTTGCCAAAGAGCAGCTAGCAAAAAATTGACTAAGATTAACTGACATTGCTAATGCGTCATGCTATGTTTCTACAGTAAGATGGGTAGAAAGGCATTGAAAATAAATGGAAAAATTTACCAAATATTTCCTTTTTGTTTCCCTTAAGAAAATGTGGGCACTTTTAGTTGGGCCATTTACAGTCTTCTGCAAAAGATGGAACAAACCTGAAACCGACTAACCCCACAACTAGCACTATAAAAAGGGAGTAATAACAAACATAACCGAAACCTTCAAATTGTTTGAAAATTAACGCAAGAACCAAAGAAAAGCACTATTTAAGCTCCAAATTCCCATTTCTACCTTTCATCATGGCTAAATTTTCCAGTCAAAAATGGAGCTCAAGTAGTGCTATTTATAGAAGCTAAAATAACAGGGGAATAGGGGATGTGTTTTTTTTTTGTTGTTGATGGGATTCTTGAAACCTAGGGAGTAGTAATTAAATTTTAAGTGAGCTTTCTCCTAGTAGTAGTAGTAGTAGTGTTGGTCTCATAGATAACATCAAGCAAACAAGTGCTTTTGCATTTGGGGCATCTTGGATCAGCTTCAGCTAGCATGACATACATAAGGCACCTTGGACAGCCCACAAGAACCATAGATGTTGCTGTTTCTGGGCTGTTGGCGTAGCGTTGACCGCCCGACGAATCGTCCGAAGACACACATGAGCTTGGTGGAGATGTTGGTGATGCTGTCAATGACCTGTTTGGTGACTCCAGCCTTATTGGATGTTGGTTAATGTACTGCTGCTGCTGCCTTGGTGGAGATAAATTCAACTTCAAGTCAAGTTTTGGACCATTTCCATTCTTCCTGCTCATGGTCTTGCTTGTTATTTGAATCCTGAAATCAAATAACAAAGAGAATTTAGCATGAGAAAATGAACATATGATTAATATTTTTCTTTTTTGTGATCATTTTTGACAAGATTTTGTAGTAGCAGTGCTATACCTTAAGAGATTCTTGTAATTGTATGGAGGGTGGTTTTAAAGAAGATGTGTGAGTGGAGCCAGCAGCAGCAAAACTAAGATGATGGGAAAAAAAAGTTGAAGAAGAAGAAGAAGAAGAAACTGTGTTGTTGATGATGATTATCTTGGTCTTTATATAAGAGGGAGCTATAGAGGGGAGAGATGGGATTGCTTTAAAGGTTAATTAAATTACAGTGAAGNTAGTAGTTGTAAATAGAGAGGCAGAAAATGTATTAATGGTTGGAAAAATCCCAAGAAGGTATGCAGAAAAAGAAAAATTGGAGTAAATATTGCAATTACAACTAATTAGTGCATGCAGTGCAGGGAAAAAGAAAAAGAGGTTGGAAGAGGTCTTTCATTCATTGCTTAAGAGAGTCGGTGTGTGAATGAAGGGTGTATGTAGCCATTACTACTGTGTGTTTGTGTGTGATAAACCTATACATACATTATACGTATACATACATACATATATTATGTATAAGTACAAACATAAGAAAACGGCCTAAGAAAAAGCCATCGTAGCCTTTAAAGCCCAAACTAAATTTTCTAACAAATCCAACCACATCCTTATTAATTTCAATAGCTATCCATAATAAATTCTTGAGTTACGTATGATGGGCTTTGTATAGTTAATAAAAGGAATGAGAGCATTTCACGCCACTCTTTTTGAACAAGGACTAAGAAATTAATACCGTGTTTTCGACATGGGAAAGGCTACATCTCTTTTTTTTTTTGTTGGTATTTTTAGTTATGTCAGTGTATATACACTTTACAAGTAATACCACACCATTTAGCAACTATTTGCTACAAAAAGAGAGAAACAACGAAAATATTCTCATGAATTTCAGAAAAAAAAAATGAGATCTGAAAAACGGGGCATGTTATAAAGGTTTTAAATCCATGAAATTTTTTTATGAAAATAATTTTTTGTTTCGCCGCAAAAGTTATTGTGACTTATTAGCATTATTTACCATTAAAATATCGGCCCAACTTATCTTTCAATTTTTGAATACTATTTATTGCAGCTTAATATATTTGTTGAACTCGTAATGTTTGAGTTCCATATTTGATTAATACGTAACAATAAGCTGTCAATTTTAGGGAAAAATCAAGAAGAAATGGCCCCTTCCCTACATTCCTCCTCCCAAAAATAATATTACTCGGATCCGATATTTACATTAAGTCATTAATGTAGTATATCTGTAATGTAAATAAATTTTGTTAATTAATAATAGTTAAGGGTGTGTTTGGTATGAAGGAAAATATTTTTCATGGAAAATATTTTCTTAGAAAATGTTTTCATGGAAAATGAGTAGTTTTATCACTTATTTTTCCTTGTTTGGTTGGTGAGTGGAAAACTTTTTGCGAAAAATATTTTCTAGTGTTTGATTAGAAAATATTTTTTTATGCTAATCTCCTCACCTCCTTTCCCCAAGTTCCCATGTTTCGTTGCCCCCCTCCCCCTCCCCAAATACCCAATGTTTTCGGGACTCAATTTTCTTTAACAATTTAATTATTCTTCTAAAATTCACACAATACTCCATAACTATAAAGAAAATACTCTTTTTTGGTTGAAAAAGAAAGTGCTCTTTCTACAATATGAAAATAAAGTAATCATTTTATTAAAATAAAATAAAATACATTTTCTACATCATGAAAAGAAAATACTCTTTTTATTGAAATGAAAAAAAAATACTTTTTCTACATCATGAAAAGAAAATACTCTTTTTTGTTGAAATGAAAAAAAAATACTTTTTCTACATCATGAAAAGAAAATACTCTTTTTTGTTGAAATGAAAAAAAATACTTTTTTTGTTAAAATAAAAAAGTATTTTTTATATCATAAAAAGAAAATACTCATTTGTTGAAATGAAAAAAAAATCTATCTATAGCATGAAAAGAAAGTACTATTAATAATATTTTTATTTAGGGTGGGGANATATTTTGCAAAATATTTAAGCCAATCAAACATGAGAAAATTGA